AAAAAAAAAAAAAAACTGCTGCCGAGATGAAGAAGAAAAACGCGGGAGAAGAGAAGAGGAGAGTGGGGAAGAAGAGTGGGGAAGAAGTTACTTTTAGGTAAACAATAATAATAAAATAATGTGTCAAAATTAGTAGATAGTGGGATGATGTCACATTTCAATTTCTTTGTGATTTATTTTAATGGGATTATATAGAGGGACTGACTTGGAAGTTCATTTAGGGTGTATGAATTTTTAAAGACGACTCCCTTAAAGATTAAAATAATGAAAAGACAAAATAATGGTGGTTGCTGGTGGTTATGAACCACTCCACATAATTAATTAAAAGTCAATATTTGGTATGATTATTTAAATAAAAAATAATTTTATTTAAAATAAATAATTACCAAATGTTGATTATTTTATATTAAAATATTTAGTATAAATATGTGCAAAATGTTTGCACATAAATGCTAAGTCTTGAAATTTTTCTAAGAGTTGAAAAAGAGAGAGAGAAAGAAGAATTGTTCTCAAAATAAAAATAAAAATTTAAGAAAGAGTTCTTAAATAATAATAAAATAAAATTTTATCTCCCAATTAAAATCCTCTAATTAATATTCCTATATCAAAACCGATATTTTTCTACTAGCGAAGAAAGAGATTATCGGTGTTGGATTTCAAAAGGTGGACTCAATTAGAGGGAAGACACTTGGATTCCTAAAGCGAGACGAGTTCAAACTGGAAATTGATTTCCACAAACAACGACGAGGAGGAGATAAAAAGGTAATTTTCGAAATTATCTTACAAATCAAAATTAGTAAAAGTTATTAGATTTTAAATGATGCTTATCCATTATATCGTTATACTTATGTACGGAATAAGTATTTATGAGATAAATACTTGTAAAAATTTTTAAAATTCCACTGCATATTCTGTTCCGTACAGTATGACGAACCCAACAGAATAAACATCCCCCTCTTCATAAATACCTTCATCAGAGGGATATCCTCAAATCGATGCACTTGTACCAAATCTTGATAATAGACAACATCCTCTAATTCTAATGTATCTTCAAACTGTCTTATTTCCCTTCTTTAGTTATCTGGACAGTCCGCTCAGATGTGCCATTTGGCACTACAAGTCCAACAAATACAATATTTAAAACTTTTATTAGCTAATGTGTGAGCCTTTCTGAATGCTCTTCTTGTTGGCTTTCTACCAACATTTTGTTGATTCAGACCTAAGGATGAGGCTTTACTTCTACAAGGGCTCTGGCCTTTGTCCAGATTTATAACTCAGTGCCTTTTGTTTTGACCATAACCTTCTAGGTCTCAATGATGACTTACTTCTTTTATTCCCACGAGAATATACGTAATTACTTTGGTTTTTCTTTTTGTATTTCTATGGTTGATCCCAATAACAGTTGGAATGCCATTTCTTCGCAACATTGAGGAATTGCTTTATTTTTTTTTATTTTTTTTTTGTAGTTTTTGTATAATGTCGTTTGATGACACCACTCTGACAATTTTGCTTTTAGGAAAGACATTTTTCTAGCTACAATATCGAATGCATTCATCTTGTATTTTTTAATTAATATTTCTCTCCAACTCTTTATTAATTGTTTAATTTTTTTCACCATATGTTGGACTTTATTTGCAACTAGCAATTGATTTTAACCATAGCTTTGTATCCTCTGTACTCTACGAATATCTTTGGAGAATCAAACAATAGATAATAAGTGGGTCGGAACTTAGAAGAGTCTAGAATAATTTCTTTCTAATTTTCAATATTATAAATCAATTCTAACTACGATTTTGATGAACTCTCTCTTCATTATTTAATAAATCAATTTGTAACAATTGGATTACCCATAAGTTATTCACATGATACTTCTTTTGTTTGTAACAAAGTGTTAGAGTGGTTCTACGCACTCCTGCTGACGCCCGTCCAATATATCTATTATCCCAACGAGTAATGTACTCTTGGTGCTTTAATTTGTCAATCTTCAAGATCTGAAGATATCTGTTATTGCTTACACATTTGGACAATTTTTTATATCTATTTTTTTTATTTTTTTCCTCACCAAAATTTAATTACCATGTTGTAAATCATCTAAGAGTTCTTAGTAAAATCTAAACCTTTAATACCATATTAAGTAGAGTGGTACTCTCCGAATATTTTCAGGTACTAAACATAAAGAAACAATGTACTGCATGGAATATTACAACCTAAGAACTCTTTGAAAGAAAAACGTACTTTTATAAATGAATACAAGTGTTATTTTAGATAGATTAGGCGTGTGTTTAGTTTGTTAGTGTGTTATTCTCCTTTTTTTTTTTCAAGTAGATTCTCCATTAGTTGGAGTGTGTTAGTCCCTTGTGGGTGTTTTTGCTTTGTGTTGAAGTAGATGTCCAGCTTACGATTTCAGCATCCTTCTTCGGACCGCTGCCGGTAGTTTGGTACCCTCTTTCGGGTTTAGTTTTAATCTAGGATACTAGTGTTAGTGCACCTCTTTGATTCCACTGTGTGGTGGGTCAATGTGGCTAGTTATCATGCGATCTATATCGGGTCTTTCCCTTTTGAGTAATGCAATCTATCGTTTCGTAAAAATAAAAAATAAACGAGGTCTATTTCTTCAGTCTATAGATATCGGAAAAAAAAACGTATTTCTAACTTTAGAAAGGACCAATTATTCTGGCTTTTCTTTGATTAGGGAGTAGATTAGAATTTTTTTTTTAAGAAGTGAATTTTAGAATTACTAATTTTTCTATAAAAATCTTATTATTAATAGTTTTTCTTAAAAAAAATATCTCAGATAAAAAATTGAAAATAGATCAATACTATTGTAAATTAGAAATTTGGTCCAACAAGTAGGGATGTAAATGGGTAGTGTTCGGTATAGGTTTTGGCAAACCCGAACACGACCCGCATATAATTTAACCTACCCAAACCCGACCCGTTACTCAACTAGTGATCTTCGGGTTCGGGTTGAGTTTTACCCGGCAGGTTAGTGGGTTTTCGTCGGGTAAATGGATAACCCGAGTCTTAAATTTGGGTTTTAACCGACCCATCTGGCTTCATATGAAAATAAATTAAAATTATTTAACAATTAATTATAATTTATTTAAGTTTGACAATAAAAAACTATAAAAAAATATATTATTTTCGAATAAATAATGAGATATGATTATCTATCTTTTATAGTTTATTTAATATTATAACATTTAAAATTAAGTATTTAATTTTTTTATTGTACAATTAACAAAAAATGATAATAAAACTATAAAAAATAAAATAAATTTAATCATTAATCAAAATCATAATAGATAATCTAATTTTTAAAAATAACACATGACAACTTTTATATTTATTATAAGTTATAAATATACATATGTACGTATGTATATATATACATGATTCAATGGTTGCGGGTAAACGGGTAGGGTAATCGGGTCGGGTAATTGGGTTTATCTATTATACCCGCACCCAACCCGACTCGGAGTTCGGGTAGCATATTTCTACCTTAACCCGACTCGAAACCCATTCATCTCGATTTTACCCGACCAAAAAATGCGGGTAACCCGCGGTTAACCCGACCCTACGAGTTTTATTGACATCCCTACCAACAAGTGACCCATCAAACAGTTTTTTCAGTTAAAATTACTTTTATATCCGATTTAGGGGCACATTGATAAACCCGTATAGTTTATATGGTGGTTTGTAGAAAAAAAATTGTTTATATGGTGATGCGTCAAAATCCGTGATAATTTGAGAAATGTTATGATAAGTGGATTTACCACTAATAAATATTATCTCTTCATAGAAATGCGTGCCACTTTGCCTATAAAAGGCAAGATGAAATCACTTTTATATCCAATTTAGGGGCACATTGATAAACCCATATAGTTCATATGATGGTTTGTAAAAAAAAATAATTTATATCATGATGCGTCAATAATTTGAGAAAAAGTATTTTACGAAAGAAGAATTATCTGCAACCACTGGGCGTCTCTCTTCTAGACATCTCCTTCGTTTTGCCCTTGAAAATTTCCCCTCGCATAGACATGCGCAATTAAACATCGAAGTGTCTGCCAAGAGACAAAAACCTCTAAACCCAAACGAAATTCTCAGCATGGAATATCAACATCCCCACGGCCACATGAGGCCTCCGCCTCCGTCCACGGCGGAACCCTACCAAAGACCACCACTTTCAGTTCCTCCGCCGCCGCCAAGCCAACCCTGGCCCTACTCCGCCACCCAATTTCAATACCAATCCCAAACTCAGCATTCCCCTTCTCCACCTCCGCCGCAGTGGCGGTCCCCTCAATCCTCCGATCGCGCGCCTTATCCTTCTCCTCATTTTCCTGTGCACCAGCCTTCGCCTTATCCTGCCCAACCTCACTACCCACCCTCCCATCCGCTTCCACCAAGACCGCTTCACGCTCCGCTGCCTTACTCTCAGGTATTTATTTAAATTAGCTTTGGAAAACTAGGTCAAGGATCATGATTTTCCCAGCGACTTAGTCTTTGGATTTATAGAGTTGAGTTTGCTCTGTGATTGAGCTAGGTCTTGGGTGATCTGCCTTTTTTCAAGTGAAATAATTAGCTTAATGGAAAATTGATTGCTTAAGTACTATAGCTTTATTTGTGTAATTTGCGTTCAAGCGTGTGGTATTGCTGGTATGACGGTGGGTTATTAAATTGGTTGAAGATGGAAAAATATTGAGGTTTGTTTTATTGGATTCCTTCTGTTTGCTGATCAAGATTTTTCTTGTTTCTTTTCCATAACCTATGTTGGTTGGGTCAGTAAGCTATTGTGTAAATCCATCTTAAATTAAGTATTGGTCAATGCAACATTTGCCAAATCTAATTTCGAGAAGCCATTATCCATGCCAAATATGCACTAATATGTAAGTTTCTGTTTGATCTGATTGAGGAATGGCTTGCCAATGATAGGAGAAATTCTGTGGTAGCAATAATGTATAGAATGAAGCATCCTCTTGAAGGTCATTGTAATGTTATATATTTGAAAATGCTAATCAAGGTTGTCGATAAATAGTTTTTTCAAGCCTAATCTATGTGCAGAATCAACCTCCTATAGACCTTTGCAAACATCATCACTGTTTTTGCTTAGAATTTAATTAACTTCAACGTGTCTCTAGAAATATCCTGGCTATTTGGTGTTATCAGTTTTCCATACACATTCTTCTAGGAAATATATGCAATTTTGACTTGGTGGAATGTTCTGTTGTAGGATTGGGGAAGTAGCTGGACTCCGCAGCAGAGTTGGCAGTACCAAAGTCAGTACATGAGAATCTTGCTGTTTGGACATCCTTAGTCTTTCAACTTTTTATGCTTATATTAATCACTCTTCTTTTCTTCTCTTTTTTTTTTGTTGATCGTTAAATAAATTTGTATTGATCAAAATTGAAAGTCATACAACCGAGTCAGCTTTCAAAAGCGTAGTGGGTAACCACAAGTCGTTCCTCACTCGCAAGAACAAAAATAACGAGGACAATGTTCTCCTCCAACCAAGATTTTCCAAGTGCTCAAGCACTTGGCATCAACCATCCTAAAAAATTATCAAAATTTTATACTTCAACGCCTAGGCTTCTTCTCTCAAATTCGGCAAGAACACTTGGAAAAAGAGCAAATATAGATCGGTAGACGTGCTTCTTCTCTTCATTTGTGGTGTCATATAAGGTTGTGCTATTCATCTTACGGAGTTGAATGTTTCATGTTAAATCCTTTAGGGACCGAACCGTTCACTCAGTAGAAAAGTATAGATATAATGGCGTAAATGTTGCAGCTTTATGCACAGTAGTTGACAGTTTATTGATAGCTTAGTTGACTTTCTTAAGTCATTTGGAAAATTCAATCTGTCAATATGCAATTACATCTTTTCCATCAATTCCAGTTTATGAGGAAGTGATCTGACTAGTCTGACAAGCCAATCTTGGATCTCCCTGCGGTCATCTTAACCACTGTTAGGATCGTTTGATCTGTGAATTTATGGATAAAAAATGTGTACTGAATGATGGAATAA